AAACTCTGTGGGTATCTTCTCTATAGGGTACACAAGGGGAATGTCTAGGACGCCAGGGGAGGTGGTTGTTCAAAAGGGCAGTGGTTGAGGTGTCCTATCAGAAGTTACATTTAAAAAAAGTATTTATTTATTTGACAGAGAGACAGCGAGAGAGGGAATACAAGCAGGGGGAGTGGGAGAGGGAGAAGTAGTCTCCCCCTGAGCAGGGAGCTCGATGCGGGCCTCGATCCCAGGACCCTGGGATCATGACCTGAGCTGAAGGCAGATGCTTAATGACTAAGCCACCCAGGTGCCCCTATCAGAAGTTATATTAATGTGTGCCTCTGCAGGTGGTTGTTTAGAGAATGCACTAGTGAGAGGGGCTGGTGTCAGTTCAAGTTCCCTGCAAACCAACTTGGCTACACAAAATGGCTGCCAAGTAGCACCATTATGGAGAAGTTTACCTACAGTCCCCCTATATAATCTATAATATATCCATGTTGATCATCCATGATGATCATGTCCCAGGAGTTAAAAGGAGGAGAAAACGATGCAATAGATAAACTGTTGGAAATATAACCACACATTATTTAAAGTCTGAGGCCACTGAGAAAGTGGATTACTAGTTATATCACCATTATCAAATGCGTGGTAGATACCATCTGTTGTCTACATTCTTAATTAAGGTGAGATAGGTTAATATTGGTGGCAGGATAATACATCATCCATTACCTGTCAGTGTTAACACATTAAAAACCAATATGTTCTATTATTAAAATATCTTAGGATCGCACATAGACTAAGTTATGCATTTCAAATCCCCTGTATGTTCCTTGTTGAAAATACAGATTACAATCATTCAAGAAACATTCTTGTTCTTTTTTTTTTTTTTTTAAATTTTTTTTTTTTTTTTATTCATGAGAGACAGAGTGAGAGAGAAAGGCAGAGGGAGAAGCAGGCTCCCAAGGAGCAGGGAGCCCGATGCGGGGCTCGATCCCAGGACCCTGAGATCATGACCTGAGCCGAAGGCAGACGCTTAACCATCTGAGCCACCCAGGCGCCCAGAAACATTCTTGTTCTGATATAATGACCTAGGAGTCATAATTTCAATAATTTTCAGGCCTGAAGTAATTGTTAAGAAATGTCGATGTACAATCATATGCCCTGTTAGGGAAGAGTTAGCTATCCTCTACTGATATATGGGAAGTTTTCTTCATTTCAACCACAGCAATTAATATTCTGTACATCTGTCTATTGCTACTGTAAAGATACATCAGTATTTTGATTGATTGCCACCACTTTTTTTTTTACTTTTTAAGATTTTAATTCCAGTTAACAAAAAGTGTTATATTAGTTTCAGCTGTACAATATAATGGTTAAACAATTCCATACATTATCAGGTGGTTATCACAACAAGTGCAGTCCTTCATTACGAAAACCTATTTAACCCTTCTCCCCACCCACCTTCCCTCTGGTAACCATTGGTTTGTTTTTTATCATTAAGAGTCTGTTTCTTGATTTCTGTCTCTCTCCACTTAAGAATTGATTAAATTCCTCGTGGAGAGGTAGACTATGGTCACCCTAAAGAGTCTTCTTATTGCTCATTATAATAATATTCTAAGTGTTTTCTCTTTTGCTTTGTTCTCTCCTATTGTTGAGATACATGCAAGCAGTTCCTGACTCCTTTACCCGGCCTACAGATCATACTGACTTCGTAAAACAAATTCACCGCAGTGTCCCTTCTGGACCCTACAACAATGGCCTTCTGTAATAGCTACACGTAGGGACAGATAGAGACCAATTTCAGTGCATGGGCAGGGACATCTCTACAACCCCTATCATCTTGAAGAAGTTACAGAATTTGAGCCCTTCACCCTTCAACAACCTTGATGATTTAAGAACCGATAATTGGTCAGGGATAAGGTGATGAGGGAAGAAACAGAAAAATGTTCACCTTTAACCCAGAAGGTTGACCTATAGCCTGCATAATTTTGATAAGGATCGAATATGTGCTGGTTGGTACATTCTTAAAGGGTCTCATGACTGCATAGTTAATATCGAACTGAATGATAAGCACCAGAGTAATTTTGCAAAAGTAGTGTTTTTTTTAAAATATTTTATTTGTCAGAGAGAGAGAGCACAAGCAGGGGGAGCTGAAGGCAGAGGGAGAAGCTGACTCCCTGCTGAGCCCGATGCGGTGCTCAATCCCAGGACCCTGGGATCATGACCTGAGCTGGAGGCAGATGCTTAACCGACTGAGCCACCCAGGCATCCCAAAAAGTAGTTTTATAAGTAGAAAATTGGAGAAACATTTGTGATCTAATACTCCCTGCATGTCCTCTCCTCCTTGAACACTAAGCATATAACCACAAGCTTCATGTAGCCAAAGTGCAACTCTTTCTGCCCAGGAGTCCTGTCTCCCTGCAACTTGAATAATCTGTAAAAAAAAAAAAAAATCTCAAGAATTCTTTCCTGCTGGATGGGCTCAACAATCCCACAACAATTTTGTTACGGAGAACCCCATTTTTGGCTGCTGGTGGCTCAAAAAGCCAATACACAAGACAGGAGTTCTGATTGGAAATGAATATGAGCTTTAATCAGTTCGGTAGAAGTCTTGTCCAAAAACCAACTCCATGGTTTCAGCCTGGCCCAAGATTTTTAAGGGAACTTGAGGCCAGTAATTGGTAAAAGAGGAGAATGGTAGTCTCTAGCACTTCTTGGTTCCTGCAGACTCAGTGGTGTCAGCTACAGACGTTATTGTGGTTCTTGGGGGTGATGCATTGGTGCCCCAGGGACAGGTTATGCAAGAGGATTCCCATCCAAGTCTTTCTGGGAAGCAATACATGACCTATAGATATACAAAGAGGTTTGGTTTATCAATCACACACGCTAAAGGTGCATGCTAAAATTTAAAGACTACTAAGTTGGGCAAAGGGGCCCGGGCAGGGCTTTTATGTAACTTAAAAAAAAGTCCCCTAGGTTTATTCTGTTGCTGCAAGTGGAAGGATTTCCTTCTTTTGTGAGGTTGATTATATACCCAGAATGAATTAGATGGCAGACCTCTATCAGTAATATAACAAATATCAGACATTAACTTTTTATATTATAAAGAGTTGCCTGCCTGGTGTTGCAAACTATTGTTTGACAAAATTTGCTCTTTCCTTTTTCCTGTGAATATGCTTACCCCCTTTTGAAATTCTAAATCCTTATACTCTTCTTAAGTCACAGTGGCATGTAAGCATCAATTTCCTGTGGTTGAGCCTCATATCTTCGAGGTTCCCATAATTAAGAAATTATTTTTTTTCTCTTGTGAATCTGTCTTATATCAGTTTAATTATTAGACCGGCCAAAGAATCGAGAACAGATGAAGAAAAATGGATTCCTCTCCTAACATTCCTTCTGTTGTTGAAAACTGACTTCTGTGCTTCAGAGCAAAACTTGAAGACAGAGTTGGGGGGTCAAGGAGAACGGTAGCTTTATAGTTTTGCTGGACAGAGGAGGCTGGTGGAAGTTGAGGCCTTCAGAACAACAAGCTCACCCGGTATCAGGGGCTGAGGGTTTTGTAGGGATATACAGGATCTCGCCTGTTTGAACAGGAATTGTGTCTGTGTTCCCAGCCTTGTTCAGGCTTTCAGAGTGGTCCTGGATTCCTGAAAACAGGAAACAAAGGCTAAGAAGCGGGGAAGGGGGAGTTTGGGGAAGAGAGGGAAAAGCATACTTTATACCATCAAGCCTCACTACTGTTTTAATGCAGCCATTTGATTTTTGTTCAACTTCTGCTCTCAAGTGGTTTCAGTTTGAGTCACCAGGGCAACTGAAGTAAGACCGCTTCAAATTTTAAGTCTGAAACCACTCATTATTTTCTAGAATTCCAAAAATAAGAATAACAACACAATTTTAGTGAAAATTTTGAGGAATTAGAATACTCCTATATTGCTGATGGGAAAGTAAAAAGTACATTCATTTTGGAAAACTGTTTTGCATTTACTTACGAAAACAAACATTTACCTACCGAAGGGCAGCATGCTCTTAGCACAAAATATGTCTCTTTGTTTAAGGGTTATTTTAGGCCGGGTGGTGTGTGTGTGTGGGGGGGGTGGTTGAGGTAGAGAGAGCGTGAGTGAGCATGCGCACGCGAGCGGGGAGGGGGGAAGGGGGGGCACAGTGACAGAATCTTAAGCAGGCTCCTTGCTCAGTGGATGCTGACCTCATGACACTGAGATCACGACCTGAGGTGAATTCAGGAGTCACATGCTCAGCCTACTGAGCCGCCCCTGCGCCCCTCCACTTGTTATTTTAAAGAAATGGCAGACAAAGGAAAAGCCCTGAAACACAGTATGTTTACTTTTGTAAGAGATACTTGCATTTATAAGGGAAAGCTCCATTTGTAAGGGTGCTTCCCTCTGTGTAGCAGAAAGAGGGAGAATGTATAAATCTCCAGAAACTCTGATCATTGGAAAAAGCATCGATTTAAATCTGGTTAGCAACCACAGCCTTGGATACTGTGCTTTGCCTGGTCACCTCCCCAAATGCTTCCCAATAGGATAACAGCGTGAAGTTCCCAAAATGATCCTTGCTGGTGCCCTCCCCCTCAGATTCTGTCAACTGGTGAAAACAACAGTGTTGTGTTAATTAAGGGCTCGAGGTGATTCTAAGTGAGGCCAGGGTTAAGCACGAGGGCTTTCCGTTATTTTATGAGAATTGAGAGCAGGGTTTGGCTCAAGAAGAGGAAACAGGGTCTCTGCTACATGAGTCTGGGAGGGTCAGGTCCTTGGAGCACAGGGTTCCTAGGCTGTAGCTGAATTTGTGGGCATCTGTGGGAGGGGAGGCCCCCTGGAAGCAGAGAAGGAAAAGTCAGGGATTGGTCTTCAAGTAGGAGCTCGTGGTTTCTGAAAGGCTCCTGACACAAAGGACTAGGATGTTGGGCCTTTTCTGCATTTCAAAGTCCTGCCTTCAGGCCGAGCAGTTTAGAGGTGCAGAGGCTCTGTTGGTGGCTTTAAAGGCATTTTCTCCTGATGCAGCTGTGATTTCTCCATGAATCTCTTCTGACAAAGAAATCTAGAGGACAAGGTGAAAGAAGAAGAAATGGCCAGTTCTCAGGTAAGCCTTGCATCTGAGGTCAGAGGCCTTGTCATCTTTTTCTCTTGAAATTCCTTGCATTTAGAAATTGCAAATGTTGATTCCTCTATTTCTGATAATTCCGCTTTATGTTTTCACCTAATTTTTAAAACCTTTTCAAAAATGATACTGAAGGTTAAGTCTTTGGAACAATTCTTCCCTATATCCCAGAGCCTTCTCTCCCTTCTCTCCAACCTGGCTTCCAATAGTCCATCAACAATTGTCACTTGGAATTAAAGTCCTGCAAGTATTGAAAATATTCCCTTTGTGACTGATTCACAGGGGAAGTCTTTGAGTTCAAGATTCCTGTTGCTGATGGGGTCCGGTCCTGGGATATCAGTCAAGGAAAGCAGTTCTTATTTAGGTCCCATCTGGATGCTTTTTCAGCTTTCTGTAGACCAGGAGTCAGAAAATGCATAAATAAACATGATGGATATGAGGCTCAGAATAACTGGGAAAGTTCTTGGGGGGGAAAAGAGGTGAGGTGGAGGGGAAGGGGGGCGGATTCATGTTCTTTAGATTGAAAAAAATGCTTAAAATATAATAGATATTACAGGACTGGGAAACTAATTGTGAAAAAAATGCTTAAAATATAATAGATATTACAGGACTTGGAAACTTATGTGTGATTGAACTTTGTATAAATGCACTGTATTCTCATAATTCAATTTATATTCTGATTTAATGTTTGATGACCACAAGAACATACCAGTAACAATAGGTCCTTTGCTGTGCTTTAAGCACTGGTATCAATTTGTTTCCTTAGAGCTCATGTTACCTTCTTTTTTTTAAGATTTTATTTATTTATTTGAGAGAGAGAGTGAGAGACAAGAGAGCACGAGCAGGGAGGAGGGGTAGAGGGAGAAGCAGGCTCCCCGCTGAGCAGGGAGCTGGATTCGGGGCTTTATCCCAGGAGCCTGGGATCGTGTCCTGAGTGGAAGACAGATGCTTAACTAACTGAACCACCCAGGTGCCCTCCTATTACCTTCTTTTACTTGGATTGGTGCACTCTGACAGATTTCTCCCCTATAAAGTTCATATTTTCCCCCTTAGTATTCATAAGTGTTGGGGCGCCTGGGTGGCTCAGTCGTTAAGCGTCTGCCTTCGGCTTCAGTCATGATCCCAGGGTCCTGCGTCGAGCCCCGCATCCGGCTCCCTGCTCAGTGGGAAGCCTGCTTCTCCCTCTCCCACTCCCCCTGCTTGTGTTCCTGCTCTCGCTATGTCTCTCTCTGTCAAATAAATAAATAAAATCTTTAAAAAATATATTCATAAGTATCTTAGATGGATTTACTGAGTGATATGCAGAAACCATCACATTTAAAGTGGAAACTTCTTTCTTCTGAATTTCTCTTCTAGTTTCTGTTGAGGAGAACAAAGGTAAAAGAAATGTAGATAAACTGAAATTCAACTTCCAGACCCTAGATAAATACTTGAGACTGGCAGAGTATGACATTCCATCAGGAATTCACAACTGCCTTAATGTTAATGCTTCTCTAGAGACAAAAAGCAGCCAGCTTGACAATAGCCAGACCTCCAGGATCCTGTAAGTCCTCTTTAACATATGAAAATCCCTGCAGAAACTTCCTTTATTTTTGCCCGCCAACTTAAAACTATTTTATCAATGGCTTCTCACTAGGACAGTGAAGGTCTTTCTGCCCAGGGGTCCTGTCCCTGCGCTTTAATAAAAACAGTTTTTGCACTGAAAATGTCCCAAGAGTTCTTTCTTGACCCTTTAGCTCGCAGGCCCCTTCACATCAGTTTCCACTGGACAATGAAGACTGTCACCTTTGTGTAGCAGAGATAATGATTTCTAGGACTGGGGGTTCTAAGTCAGACCTCCATCTTGTAGGTTTTTATTTTACTCCACACTTAGGTCAGAGTTACCGTTTTATTTACCTCTTTGTATTTTCAGAAAAAACCAAAAACAGGGCGCCTGGGTGGCTCAGTTGGTTAAGCGACTGCCTTCGGCTCAGGTCATGATCCTGGAGTCCCTGGATCGAGTCCCGCATCGGGCTCCCTGCTCGGCGGGGAGCCTGCTTCTCCCTCTCACCCTCCCCCCTGCTTTTTGTCTCCCCCCTTGGGCTCTGGCAAATAAAAAAAAAAACCTTAAAAACAAAAAAACAAGAACCACTTAACATGTTTGAGTGTCTTAAAATCCTGAAATATAATAGAGTCACAGATAGAAATTATATCAGGTAGGCTTGTGATGCAAAGGAAACTTGATTTGCAGCCAGTAAGGAGATCACAGGGAATAACTTCCAAAGCAGAGACTCCCAGAGCCAGGGAGAATGGTTTCCTTTTATTTAGGGTTCAAATGGAAATTTAGAAAGAGGGGCTTCATCATCTTGTATAGAGCTGAGCATGAGGTCAAACAGGTACCTGAAGACAACACTTCCATACATACATGGTATGTTATGTAAGTGAGGTTTGCGCTTCTCCTAGGATGGAGATTTTCATATTATAATGAGGTAAAAGTACCATGGGTTACTCTTTGGTCCATCTACACAGGTGTGAGTCAGGCGTTAAGCTCAAACTGGGCCAGCCCAATTTCATCCTTTGGGCCGTCATTACCTTTATTTGGATAGTTTTCGTTCCTTGACAGGAGACCAGACCATGGGGTCTTTGCCTGGAGTAAAAGATAAGGTGGAAAAAGAGGTTAAGTAAAATGTGGGACAAAGATCGGAGGGTATAATCAGGTAACTGGGGAAGGTCAGGTCTTGGGTCTAGCTGGTGACATTAACTCCCTCTTTCATCTTAGGAACCATTGTGAACTCTGCCAATGGCCACTTGGTAACTGTGGTATTTATTGCAGGGACTGCTGACATTCAGGGATGTGGCCATCGAATTCTCCCAGGAGGAGTGGGGATGCCTGAACCACACTCAGCGGGAATTGTACAGGGATGTGATGTTAGAGAACTACGGACACCTCCTCTTCCTGGGTGAGGATGACTCCTTCCAGATTTCCCAAACCACACTCAGGGTTTTGTTCCTTCCTTTGAAGACTGTGTATTAGAAGATTCCTCTTTGAATGTTGGGAATTCAGATCCAGGCAGTAAGGGAAATAAGTAGGGGTTTGTAGATGTAGAGAAAAATCTTCATGGTTTAGCTTCCCGTTCCTTAAGAGAACATCATCACTTCTGTAGATGAGTGCCAGTTGTAAACAGTGAGTGGCAAAAAATGGTACTGCCCACATCTTAAACTGAAATTTTAAGTCCTTATTTTTGTATCGGTAGTACTTGAAAGTGGAGGTCATGATGTGAAAATGTGAAACTTCTCCTGCCTGTTTAATGGGGCTGTTGGTGAACAGTGTTTTTGAAAATCATTTTCTAGAATTCTACAGTGTCCTCTAGTGGATTGAAAGAATCTCCAGCAGTACTACTATTCATTTTTTCTAATAAACAGGTCTTATTGTGTGGAAGCCAGACCTGGTCATCTTTTTGGAGCAAGAGAAGCAGCTCTGGGATGTGAAGAGAAAGGAGACAGTAGCCTTTTATCCAGGTAGGTGGGAATGAATGAGGCAGATGACAGAGGTGAGGCCCAAATGTGAAGGAGGAAGACAGACCTTAAAGTGTGGTTCAAGTAGCTCTCCTTGAATGGAAATTCGTTTTGGAAGCATAGTTGAATTCTCCTCCCCCCTCACAGAGGGACATCTGCTATCCAACATTATCAAGCTCTTAAATTTTCTAAGGATTCTCCGTCAGCTCCAGTGATGGTCCATCACATCCACAGGGAGGGCCAGGGGACTCTCCTGGGAGTGGGAGGGCCTCCATTGTCTGAGAGCTTCTCCATTGCTATGAGGGCTCTGGGAAAATCATCCTATTTCTGAGGAACTCTATGCTAAGCCCTTTGTAAGTTCTGTTTTTCATCATGGGAGAAGTGTGTCAGGGTGGTTGTAAGCACATTGTGGTTTGGTGCAGAAATCCTTGGGAACACTGGAGACAGATATCACATGTTTTCTGGTTTATGCTTTCCTATGTTATGGTGGCTTTAATCTTAGTTGTACAAAATTGAGAATCAGTAATTTCATCAGATAACAAAACACCTCCCTAGAATGAGAAAATCTAATCCTTTATTTCACTTAAAAGTTCATTTTTCTTTGTATTAAATAATATTAGAAATTTTCACTCTATGTGTCCCATTCCTCAGTGGTGAAATAATTAAATGTATCTGTTTCCTGGAATTCCTACCTAAATAATGCCATAGGGGAGCTAGAATATTTAGAACTCAGAATTTTCAGTCTGTAATAAAGTCTCAGTTGTTACTTTATTAATAATTGAATCATTTTATAATTTTGCATGGTATGAATTTGCTGTGACTTTGCCATGTGTGATCTCACTTTCTTATTAGTTATACATGATATTCATCTTTGATTTTTTTATATCAAAAGTGGAGATATGACATCGGCATTTGCTTATAGAAAGTAAGGTGGATAATTAGTAAAATTCCCATATTAAAAAAAAAGTTTCGCTTATAAATTTAATTTTACATCTGGAAAAATTAACCATTAGGCTTTTCTTCTACTTTCCTCAGAATGTATCTGAATTTAACCCCAAATATTTATTTTTTACAAAGTGATTGCTGCCATATTTTAAAATTGTGACGGTATTTCTTTATTTCAAAATGAAGGGGTTTTTTTGGGTGCTTGATTCTTATTTTTCTCTTTTTTTTAAAGATATATTTATGAGGCAGAGAGAGAGAGTGCATGAGCTCTATTGGGGTGAGGGGCAGAGGGAGAGGGAGAGGTAGAAGGAAAGGGAGAGAATCCCAAGCAGACTACCTGATGAGCGTGGACACCCCTGAGGGACTCTATTCCACAACCCTGAGATCATGACCTGAGCCAAAATCAAGAGTCAGATGCTAAACCAACTGAGCCATGCAGATGCCCCACGGTGCTTGGTTCTAAAGGTGGCCTTCTAGTCTGTGTACAGGAGGGATATATTAATAATAATACAGTTTCCAATGTCTTTTAAGTGCTTATGCGTAAGATTTTCCATTAGAACTTCTCATGGTAGATTTTAATATATATTCTTTACTATTTTACTGTCAATAAAGGCATGCCTATAATTCAGAATGCTTAGTTTTCATGAGTACACAGTCTCAATTTAAAGTTATAGTTCTATAAAAGGTTTCCTTTTAAAAATCCATTTTTTTCCCTAAAGATTTTATTTTATTTATCTGTTAGGGAGAAAGCACGCAGAAGTGGGTGGGGGGAGTGCGGCAGAGGGAGTGAGACAAGCATACTTCCCACTGAGCAGGGATCCCACACTGGGCTCCATCCCAGGACCCCGAGATCATGAGCTGAGCTGAAGTTAAACGCTTAACAGCCTGACCCACCCAGGCACCCCAAAATTCATCTATTTGTATGTGGAATTCTTTGGGTTAAATTTTGTCTTATTCTGGTTTTATAATTCCATAATAATGTGCTTCCTTTTGTATGGGACCTTTCACAACATTATTTAGTTACCTGTGTATTTTATTATAGGATGACAATTTTCACCTCAGTGGATTTCAGGATAGTGTGAATTTAACTCAAGTATCAGTCAGCTCTTTAGTCTTTCCAGTGTTTGAACAAATGCGCCCCTTTTGTCTGAGCCGCCACCATAATGCGTCCAAAGGGTCCTCTCATTCCTTCTTCCTCTGTGGCATACATGACAGAAACAATTTCCTCAGGCAGCATCCGCACAGCCAGATCATTGAGCATATAGGTCACTCACTTGATCCTCTCTGAGGAGAGGTAAGAGTTTTCTCACGCTGTTGCTGTGGAGTGTCAGGGAGGGTGAGCCGCTGTTGTGGGCAAGTGTCCCAAACTTCTCTTGTCTCTTCGATGAGCCTCTTCTACCTTTGTACTTGTCTGGGGTTGCTGTGTTCTAAGTGGCTTCTGGAGCACTCTAAAAGGTAATTTGGTCCATTTTTGTACCCATGGAGGAGCAAAGTCCTGATGCTTCATATTTCTCCATTCTGCTGATGAGCAATGATTAGTATTAAGTTTGCACGTTAGCATTTTAATATATATGCATGTGAGTATAGTGAGTGTGATAACTTATTTTGTATCTTTTAGTTGTGTCTTTCCATAACACCCAAAGGCCTGTTGGCAAAGACAGGGAAAGAAGATTCGCTTTTTAGAGTGATTTAAGATGTTGAAGCAGTGGCCCTGAGTATTTATACTTAATAAATGACTGGGAGGGTGACAGAGGGTAGTGAAGGGCAGGCAGGAAGGATGTTATGATGGATATAACCCAAGTGGGACAGTTACCATAATGAAATCCTTCCCGCCAGAAGAGATGAGGCATAGAACACATTCAGGGAAAATCCCACCGTAAGTCTGTTATATTTGCAGAACAATGTCTTTGAACCCAGGGAATATAATGCATTTTTTCAACATACATATTCTCTGGAATACGAAAATTCTGGAAAGTCACCTAGTCTGTGCTGAAAGTTTCATTCAAACCATTTCAAATATAAGATTCGTTTAGTCATTCACTGATGCTTTTCTGAATGTTAGACATTTAAAAATAAAGATAAAAATTCTAAATGTGATTGATTTGAGAAGTCCTTTCCAGAGGGTTCATTATTCTCCCTCCTTGTTGCACACTCTCCAAATTTGGTAAACACAGGAGAGTCTTTATCCAAACATCACTGTGGAATACTTAACCACATAATACTTAATTTGGAGCAAGTTTTCATGTGTTGTGAACTTAGGAAGGCCTTTTGTGAGGACTATTTTCTATAATTACCATGTTGTTTATAAAGGAGACAAAACTTGACAATGTAATGAATCCGGGGAAAATGTCCATCAAGGGTCAAATCCTAATAAACATCAGAGAATTCAGTTTCTAGAGTACCAGTATTAGAATAATAAATGTGGGAAAGTCTTTTATGAAAGCTCAAATCTTATCATATATTACTGTATCTTTACTGAAGTGAAGACTAAAAAGGTAGTAAGTGTGGCAAACCTTTTAACTAGTCTTCAAGACTCCATAGCAGACATTTCATAATGGGAAGAAGTATTACAAATGTAAACAGTGTGGTAAAGACCTTAACTGCCACTCAAAACTTATCAATATAAGGTAAAATACAGTGGGGAGAATGCCGACAAATGTAAAAAAAAAAAAAAAAGGCAAAGTCTTTAAGCAGAACTACAAACTTGCTGAATATCAGAGAGTGCATGATGTATGAAACCCTACAAATATAAGGAATGTGGTAAAGCATTTCATTCATAATCAAAAGTATTCAACAGGAGATAATACATCCTGGGGCGATACCTTAAAATTGTCAAGAATAGTGGTAACGTCTTTACCTGGAACTGAACCCTTACTCAATATCAGATAAAGCATACTAGATAGAAACCTTCATGTAATGGCTGATGAATGACCTTTGTTTTTAATATACAGTATGGAAAGAAAGAGTCTTTATGAAGGATAAAAATATTAAAGATGTAAACAACTGGCTAAGTATGTGCAATAGAAAGGCAAATCTAAATAAAATCAGAGAATTAACAATAAGTTGTTAATAAGTCAGTGCCATTTTCAGACATGACTCTAAATCAGAGTATTTATTACAGAGAAAAATCCAAATTTAAATGACCCAGATCAATCACAGTTTAGCCTTGGACAGGGCAGACATGAGGGGCACCAACCCCCTCCAGAACTGAAAATCTGTGTGTAATTTTTGAGTCCCCAAAACTTAAAACCATTCCTACTTTACCATGGAAATACCGTATTGTTGAAACCTTACCTAGAACATTAACTGTTAATCATCCCCTTCTTTTTATGTTGTCTGTATTCTATACAGTATTTTTATAATAAAGTAAGGTGGAGAAAAAATATTACGGAATGTGTAATGAAGAGAAAACATGTTTATAGTACTACACGATATTTACAAAAAAGAAAAAAAATCTTTGTATAAGTAGACCCACGCTGTTTAAACCCATGTTATTCAATGGTCAACTGTATTTGTTAATAAACCTGAGAGGATCAAGGTGGGATGGATGTTTGGAGAGGGATAATTAATTTCACTGTGTCTCTTTTTTCTTTTGACCGTATTTGAGTTATTTTCAATAGCAAATATTAATTTTACTCTGAAATAGTCTCATGCTAAGCCTTTATTGCTTGTGTGCGTGCAAAATAATCTAGTTGCTGTCTCAAAGGCTCTTGTGTGATAGGGAATTCATACCTACTTTTCCATGAGATTAAAGACACTGTAGGGGCGCCTGGGTGGGTCAGTTGGTTAAGTGTTTGCCTGTGGCTCAGGTCATGACCTCGGGGCCCTGGGATCCAGCCCCATATCGCATCTGGCTCCCTGCTGGGGGGGGGAGTCTGTTTCTCCCTCTCTCTCTGCCCCCTCCACCTCATGCGCTCTCTCTCTCGAACGCATGCACTTGGTGTGCACTCTCTCACAAGTATGTAAATAAAATCTTTTAAAAAAATAAAAAAAATAAAGACACTGTAATGTACAATGTGTGACAGAAGTCCACATGGAAATGCTGTTTGTGGTTGCGTGTAAGAGTGATAAT